GCCGCGTCTGTCTGCGCACGGGCGGCGGGCCGAGGCCGCCCTGGGATGAGGCGCGTCAGCCTCAGCGAGCGGCCTGCGGGGCTTCTTCTAACAGTAAACAACATTTACTGTGAAGGGTTTCGGTTTTTTCCCCACCTCGTTTTAAGGAGTAGTTATTCTTCTGAGGCCGTGTGGTTGGTTTTGATGTCGCCTCGCAGTTGTCACGCTGAAAAAGTAGTTGGGTTTGTGGTCTTACTTTCACTGGAAAACTTGAAGTAAGCTTCATCTTTAGACTTTTTACGTTTGCAGTGGTGAGAGGTGCCAGAGTAGCAACTGTGGGGTTTTACTCATTGCTTTATGTGTAAGAATAAACTTGTGGCAATGGTGAGGACTTTTTGGGGGAAGGGCTGATTCCACTGGCCTCTTCTGACCCTGGAGAGAGTCAGTAGGTCATGTTGGAAGACGTTAGGCTTTTTAGTTGATAAGGGGAAGATCTTGGTGATGTTGGCTATGAACTGGGCCAGCAGCAGTAAATGTTGACTGAATTTGAACTTATGCTTAGTGCAAGGGTGATTTCAACTGCTTGAAGCCGAGTTCTACAGTTACGCTGGCAGAGCCTGCTGTACGACCCAGGCTGTATCCTGTTGCTCATTTTCAGCTGAAGCTGCATTTGTCTTGCCCTTTAATACCAGTTTCCTTCAACATGCAGCTTAGGTAAGAATTACAGGAGCGTGTGTTTATACTTGGAAGTAAAAAATGGATTAATTTCATTATTCGTAGTGGCTATTTAGTGCTTGTCATAAGCAATGGTATTGTTTGCTGTGATACTGAATCTTACAGTTTTCAAAGCCAACCCACATTCAGTTAAGTAATTCCTATCATACTTTCCTCAGGGAGACATACTGAAGTAATATGGATGCAAAAGAAGAGACTTACTGGATGTAACACAGTAAATCTTTAGCAGAACTAGAAAACATAGAGACTTCTAGATCTTTCTGGCTCTAGAATTATGAACTGTAGTCTGTCATGATGCTGTGTAATGTTGAAACTTTGCCAGGTGGTTGTTAGGGGCTCATTCACTGAGTTGCACAGTCTAAGTTGGAAGCTGGAGAGGACAGAGCTGTGCTACCCATAATTATAAAACATGATGGGTTGTGTTAAAATACTTGCAGGGAGCCAGACTCCACAGTTTTTATAAGCATGGTAGGTAGCTTTTATGTTTTAATAATAATTGTGGTGAGAGGAAGAGGCAAGATTTGCTTATGGCATTAACAGGATTTCTAATTTTGCTCTGGATGGCAACTTTTGCAAATGAGCTGCGAGAGCTGAGATCTGTCTAAGTGACTAAGTCAAGGGCTCACATCCATGAGGGGTGCATATGCAGGGACTTGAATACTGCTGTTCTCCCTTGCAGAGAACTAAGATCTTCTGATGCTATAGGCAGGATCCCTGGAGATGAAGGACAGGAATTAGTGGGATTTGTGCTGAGGTTCCTGATGCTTGGGCTTTACAATATCTGTAGCTGTTGCACTAAATCTACCACAAAACTCCCGTGTGTGCCGTTGCAAAGACCTCTTTTGACTGTCTTTATTCTTGACCATGCAATAACAATCTTATCTTTTGTTTTCACTTGATAGGAATAATGTTTGCAACATGTCTGTGCAGTCGCTGCTTTGTGAAAGAATTGCTGTTGCCAAAGAATTGATCAAGAGAGCGGAAGCCCTTTCCAAGTCCCAGAAAAGGAGAATAGAAGGTGGGGCAAAACTATGTGGCAAACTGAAGGCTGAGCTAAACTTCTTACACAAGGTGGAGGCAGGGAAGGTGGCCATTAAAGAATCCCATCTGCAGAGTACAAACCTTACCCATCTCCAAGCCATTATTCAATCAGCAGAGAACCTGGAGGACGTTGTCAGTGTCCTCCATGTCTTTGCTTACGAGGACAGGTTTGGCGACAAACAGACACTGGTGGTAGATGTTGTTGCAAACGGAGGTCACACGTGGGTGAAGGCCATCGGTCGGAAAGCTGAGGCCCTGCATAACATCTGGCTGGGGAGAGGCCAGTATGGTGACAAAAGTGTTATTGAGCAGGCAGAGGACTTCCTACAAGCGAGCCGTCAGCAGCCAGTGGAGTACAGCAATCCCCACATAATCTTTGCCTTCTACAACAGCGTGTCCAGCCCTATGGCAGAGAGACTGAAGGAGATGGGAATATCTGTGCGAGGAGACATTGTTGCCGTGAACTTACTAGCAGAGCCATCTACAGAAAACCAGCACCTTAGTGCCAGTGAATCAGATGAAGAAGGCCCTGAACTCCTGCAGGTGACCAGAGTAGACCGGGAGAATTTAGTGGCCAGCATTGCTTTTCCTACCCAGATCAAAGTAAACGTGTGCAATAGAGTTAACTTGGACATCACTACCTTGATAACCTACGTTTCCGCTCTAAGCTATGGCGGCTGCTACTTCATCTTCAAAGAAAAAGTGCTAACAGAGCAAGCGGCTCAAGAATGGAGGTAAAGAGTCCTGCCTCAGCTGGAAGAGTTCATGGAGGGCAAAGAGCTCTTTGCCTGTGAATCTGCTGTCAGAGATTTTCAGTCCATCTTGGAAACGCTGGGAGGACCTGGGGAGAAAGAGCGAGCTGCGTTGCTCGTTAAAAGAATTAATGTGGTGCCAGATCAACCATCAGACCGTGCCTTAGGACTAGTGGCTAGTTCAAAAATCAACGGCCGTTCTCTTACCATTTTTGGGACGGGAGACACTTTAAAAGCCATCACCATGACTGCAAATAGTGGTTTTGTGAGGGCAGCGGCTAACCAAGGTGTCAAGTTCAGTGTTTTTGTCCATCAGCCGCGAGCGTTGACAGAAAGCAAAGAATCTGTTGCCACGCCTTTACCAAAGAGCTGCCCACCTGATAATGGACTGCAAGTCATTTAATGAGTTAGTCATTGAAATATCGCAGGTGCTGCAGTGGAAGCATTTGGAGAAACAGGAGAATCATAACAATACACTTTTAGGTCTCTATCAGTGAAGACAGTAACTGTAGCAGTGGAAGGGTTCCTCATGGGATTTGCAATATCTTTACTCAATCCTTAGGTTTTTATTTTGTTCAGCTGACCGCTTATTTATTCACTAAGGTAATAAAATTTCAGTGAAAATTGTTAACTGGCTTACAGTATATTAATTGTATCTATCCCTATTAAAAAGTTCAGTTAAAGCACAGTTGCAATTGTGCCTTTGTTATTTTTGTTCTCTTTAGAGAGATTAAATTCAGCACCTTAGATAAACTTCAAACTTCATTTCTGTGGAACTTAAATCTTCTTTTCACCTGTCCTGTTCAACTGAATTTTTTGTTGTTTCAGAGGTAACTTACGTTCAGACCTATGCCTTTTTGGGTGTATGCTGTTTCGTGAAGACATGACTAGTAGCCATGAATAGAAATCAACTTAAACCTTCCTTCTTTTACTGAAAGGAACCTCTGTATATATGCTATATAGACTGAACTGGGCAACAGCTTTAAAATTCCCAGAAAAATCAGTTGAAATTGGAGTTTATTGGCACTAATATGTTATGACTTTTGGGCCAAACTGGACAGCCAGTGGTAGCAGACCAAGGTTGCAAATCTGCTTCCCTTTTTTCTTAGCCTTTGCCCAAGTGCAAAGTCTTGCTGGGTGCAAAACGCAGCTTGAGGCTTTGGATAACGGAATCCTCCTAAACTGAGCCAGCACCCAGGTAGTTTTTGATACTGGTGAGCTCTGTGCTGAGGAATCATGGTGAACTTGGCTCTGTTGGTTGTGGATTACCTGAAACAAAGCTTCACTGAGGTCCTTCAGTGTTGGCATGGTGGAGGAGGAGGTTTGTGGGATATGTTATTAATTGCTAGGTTGCCTTATAGTAGAGAGAAGCTTTTTCACTGGTGTTATAACTGCTGGTTTTACTCGGTGTAGAATAAACAATAGTTTTTCTTGGTGTGGGTTTTTTTTGGTTGCTTTTTTTTTTTCCCCAGGAGAGAGTTGCTGTTTTAGACCTTTCTAATGTTTTTCTGTATCCTTTAATGACAGCGCTTGCTGTTTGGTATCGATTTGCATCAGGTTCCTAGTGGAAAATTTTGAGATGTCAGAGTGAACCTCTTGGCCCTGAGCTATACCCTTTTTCAGGTCAGTGAAAGAGATACCCACTGAATATTTTATAGGCTGTTGTTCAACAAGATAGCCTTATTATGCAGCTTATAGTTCAGGCAAAGAACATTCCTTTGCTTCTTACCACTGCATTCTAAATTTCTTCGTACAATACAAAGTAGCTGCAGTGCTTCCCTTAGCCATAGTCTCTACGTATTTCCTTCTGTCTCCAGTACTCTGGTGTACTCCAGCAGTGGTGTAAAGATACTCCAGCTGAATAAGTTTATCTTCAAGGAGCAAAAGCATTCTTTTTTTTCAGTATGACTCTTGCTCTGCTCTGTTCTTACTATGCACGTAGAGTAACCTGTTAGGAGTTGTCACCAGTATCCACATGCTGCATATCTTTACCTGTAACTTTTAACAGTGCAGAGGGCAATCTGTTCTTCACCTGCCCCTTGTTTCTGCTGGCCACTGAGGTAGTTCATGCGGTTTAGTTAAGATGGGTGGAACTGGGTTTTGGGTTTTGCTGCTTGAGGATACAGTTTTCTACCTGCCAGTTTCACAGGTCTCCCTTGGTGAGTTGTTCTAACAAAGCATCTAGCTTCTTCCTACAGTCTAACACTGTGTAAAAAAAACTGTGTCTCATGCCAGGATATAACCCCCACTGCATCCATTAATTTTCCTGAAAGTTCTTCTGAAGGGAAAGGAGGACCAACACACCAAAACGATATAAATAACGTGTTGGCTGTGCCGCAGAAATGCAAGTCTACCTTAGCAGTTGACAGCACAAGCTTCATCATATGGGAGCTTAGGGAGATAGTGCTTTATCATGGTATGATGGATTTACCAGAGCACGACCACAGATGTTCCTGAAATGTTGCAGTGCTATAAACAGCTGGAAGGAAAAGTGCCTTTCATTTCTGCCGTGAGAGCTGTTACACCTCGTGTGATCTTTCCTCCGCAGTAGGTGTGGGAGTGGAGGTGGGAGAGGCTGTCTGTGGAGAATAAGAACGAACTGTGTGTCTCAAAACTGTTTCTGTTTGGTATCAGAAAGCCTGAAAGAAGGTACATGAAACCTCTTAGTGAATAATTTACGAACAACCAACCTGGGAGAGAGGGGTTCTTTTTGTTTGCAACTCAGAGCTTTAAAAGCTGAGGTCCCAACAGACAGCTTACTATTTATCGCTGATGAATCTGTTTTACAATCTTACAGGATACGTTTAAAGCTAAGTACATGGTAACAGTGCACTTCTGCATGATAATTCATTATGGCCTTTTAAGAACTAATCGTTTTAAGCAGTTAAGTTACTTTTCAATTGCTTATGGCCTTTCTGCCCTTGATGCTGAGGGGTTTGGATGAGTAAATGGGAGAGAACTGCTTCATTCCACTGCTTGCTGTGACTCTAAGAAGGGCGTTTCCATCATTTTCCCTCCTCTATCCCATTGAGTACTCTTGAATATCCTCCTAGGAACCCTCTAAAGAGGTTTCTCCACACCACAGATGAGAGGGCAGTGACCCGCATTCTTACATGGTAGGTGACCCAGAGAAAGTGAGAAGCAAGTAACCTCTGTATTGCCTGGGGTGAGCTCCGTTTGCTGTATTTCTTCACTCCTGCTGCTGCAGAGCTGGCTGACTTATTTTGTAATGATAGTTTCATGTGAACTTTAAATGCCATTCCATTTAAAAGCCTCTGTATCTGGAGCCATCGTGTGGTGATTTTCTTCATTACCAGTCATTTTTGCTCAACGTAGTGTTTGTTACTGAATCCATTTTCTTTCTCTTACCAATTTCTACCCATCATATGAGCAATATTTTAGCAATACGAAACTCTAGAAGTTATCTGCATGCCACTGTGCAATTTGAGGGGGTTTTATTGTTATTTTGTGTATCCCTGTTGCATGGTGCAATAAAAAGCTCAGAATGTGGGTGTTCCAGGATTTTTTTGTTGTTGTTTGGTTTGGGGTTTTTTTTGTTTGTGTTTTGCTTTTTTTTTTTTTTAAAGCTATTTTTACCTTCAGTGGGGTGTTTTTTGGTTTGTTGGTCAAACAGAAGTGCAATGCTGGCAGACTGTAAGAATTGCTTTATAAGATGAAACCTGAAACTGAATGCTGGCTTGGAACCAAAATGTGTTTTGATTGTAATATTTGGTGGCTTTTGTATTGCCTTCCAAGATACTGGTGATCTACATATATAAACTAGCGTTCTGGTTTAGTGCATTTAGGTAGCTTCTACTTAATTTTACAACTCGCGGGTTAGATGTTGGACTTCCCTTGTTTATGTGTTTACAAATGAGTAATTAGAAGATGCCAAATTATGTTTGAAATTAAGTTGGAAAAAAATGGAAATCCAAGACTGCTTATGCTTTATTCCAGTATCACACAACTGCTTTGCACTATACCAGGCACTTGAGGATATGGAGGCACCTTGCTTGCTGCAGTGGATTTTGTTTGGTTATTATTTTCATGGAATTTTTTCAGCGTTAAGTTCCTTGGCAACGATGGGTTCCTAAAGTGTTTTGGAGAGCCTTGTTCTTCTGGCACGTTTAATTTATTTTACATTATCTCTGTATGGTTCCATAGTCTCCGAGGAGAGCCAGCATCTCTGTTCTGTGCAGCACTCAGCTGGCTCTCTTTGTTCCAACCGTAAGAATACCAAACAAGGAAAGCTGTGATTGATGCCAGACAGTAGAAGGCACTTGGATATTATATGAGAAATAAATAGGTAAGTTAATACATTTGTGTTTCTAATTTATCTTTTACAGTTTTGTCAAAAGGAAACTTATTTGTGGACACAGCTGTGTATATTCCTTGCTGTTGTTCTGGCTGACAAAATATGCAGATAAATGACTTGTCTGTTGTTGTACCTGCAAGCCACGAAAACACTCAGAGGTAGTTTTGTGTGTTGCAGCCACAGCTGTGTGAAAGTGTTTTTCTTTGGTAAGTTAGTGGGCTAAATAGGAGTTTGTGTTTCAAGCTGTCCCCCTCCTCTGATGATGCCTTCAGCAGACTTAAAGCAGCCTGCTGAAGTCGTCTGGAGCCTGTCTGAAAATGTTTTCACAGCCCTGTTCCTAGTTCCCGAAAACTGACCGTAGGCTTGGTTACAACAGTAAGAAAACACAAGCATCAGTTGTTTGAAATAAGTTTGAGAGGAGACCTAGAAAAAACCCAAACCTTAAATTTTTTTTTTTTTTTTTTTTTGTTAAAGTGGAGCAAGGAAAGGATTTACAATAATGACAAAGCATGTAGTTGCAATGACATTCTTTATTTCAGGTTATTATGCAAGCAGAACAGCACAGGTGACCTGTTACTGAATTAACACGGTAAAGTAAGCAAGAATTAGATGTGGTTCTCGAAGGCCTTGGTTACAGTTTTCCTGCAAGCTGTAGTTTTAGGAACTGCTCCACCGTCCAGCTTGCTGCAGGCACTGTGTGTGTGTGCGCATTTGTGGTGAAATCAACTCTGCAGGTACGTGTGGCTGTTGCTTTTCCATCAAGACTTAATGTTGCAGTTTATTCTAGAATAAAAACAAAGAGAGTGAATGTAAAACTACTACACTTGAGTGATGGAACCGCTTGGAATTGTGACTCTGGGGCTTTGCAAATTGTTTCCTTTGTTTCACCGGGGGAACTAAGATTGTTCCTACATAAATTATTGTAAAGAACAAGCAAACAAGAAAACCCCCAAGCCTGCATTGTTCACAAGAGACTTCTGTCCATTTAAAAGATCCTCACTCATAATATCTTTCATAAGATGTTCCTCTCTTAAAAAAAAAAACAAAAAAACAACAAAACCCAAAACAAAACCCCAAAAAGACAAAAC